CCCCACCCCCCGCGCGCGGAGCCCTGCCGGCGGGCGCCTGGGTCTCCCGGCACCCCCACCCAGGGACCCGGATGGCGAGCAAGGGGCCGGGGTTCCCGACCTCACTTACCGACCTGCAGAAAACAGCCCAGGCGGGCAGGGAGGACGCCACCAGCCTCCGGGATCCAGAGTTTAAGTCAAGTCGGGTCCGCCTCCAGGGGCGGGTCGGCGAGGGAGGCTCGAGCTCCCAGAACAGTTGGGCTCGCCCCGGGCGCGCGGCGGCTGCGAGGCCCGCCCCGCCGCGGTCCTAGTGTCGCCCCGATGCTGCCTGGCTTTCGCCTGCGCCTCCCCGTGTGGCATGGGGATTTGCAAAGCACTTTCACCTATCCCGGAAAACTCCTCCACCTTTAACTTGCATCAGAATAACCCTGAGGGTTCCTTAAAATGAGATTAAAGAGCACCACCTACAAAATTCCCGATGTAATAGGTAGGGGGTGGGTCTGAACATTTGCATTTCCAAAGTCCTCCAGATCTGCTGTTGTTGCTGCTTTCAGAACCAGGGATCCACTGCAGGGGTTAGCCAACTTATTCTGTAAAGAATGCATATTGGGATGAGTTCCACTTCTCAACCCCAGGCTATTGCAGTAAAGACAATATCCGTTCACAATGGAGAATCATGTCTAAAAAGGAAAAAAAAAAAACAACAGAAAAACAACAGACCCCCCCCCCCCTTTTTTTTTGGAGGAAGTTTATATAGGAGAGAATTCTTTCTGAGTGACTAAGGAATGAGAAAGGACAGAGGTGGTTACTTCTTGTGATATGCTGGGACTGGGTATTTGTCCTTGAGGAACAAAGATCTTGGTTCTTCCACTCTGTAGCTATATATTGGGGTAGGATCGCTTATTCTCTCTGCTGTGTTCTCTCGTCTGTAAATCGGAGATAAAGGTAATATCCAATCGAACCACCTTAAGGTCTAGCAGTACTATAGCCATTTTAAAATTAAGAAAGGCATCTTGGGAACAGCAGATGGCGTAAGTGGCTAAGGTGTTGGGCTCCCACATGGCTTGCCGTGGTTCAAGTCCCAGATCTGGCAGCTTGAAAATCACAATTAAAATACATACATAAATTTTAAAACACATGTTTGGGGTGGGGGAAGAAAATGAGGCTGGCCTTGTGTGTGCCTGTGCTCAAAATCCCTGGAGGAGAATGGAGGATAAGGGATTGTGGTGTGGCCATCCCCGTAGGGTGTGATTTCTCACTTTTCCTCTCACTGTCTCTCTCCAGGGAGCACACATGCCCTATGGCAAAAACAAACAAACAAACAAACACAAAACAAAACAAAAAACAAAACAACAAAAAAATTAAAGAAAAAAGAAAGGGATCAGCAGATGGTACAATGGTTAGGTCATGGAACTCCCATATACTCAGCTGCAGTTCAAGTCCTGGACCCAGTAAATTAAAACTCATGCCAGATGTGTGTGTGTGTGTGCCCAGAATCCCTAGAGGAGAATGGAAAAGGGATTGTGGCTGTCACCCAGGGGGTGATTTCTCACTTCCTGTCTCTCAGGAGAGTGCATACGCCCTGTAACAAAAATCTCTCAAAAAAAAAAAAAAAGAAAAGAAAGAACAATCTAACCAAGTGCTGAGTCATAGGGAGGTCAGAGGCGTGGTCAGATGAGAAACTAGGAATGGAAATCTAAGAAAAATAGAAATCAGGATTAATTGCACAAAAGAAAATGATTGACTTTGACGATAGTATATGATTTGCATGTCCTTGGATCTTGTATCTATGATATAAATACTGAGCACATGCTGTGCTTTTTGACAGTTCGGTGGTGCTTGCTGATCATCTCCCTACAACCTGTTTACAGAAATAAATTCCCTTCTCCAGCCTCTACCTTTTTCACTGACTGCAAGTAGAAGTAGCCAGACTTTGTTTGCCAGATAAAATACTTCACAAGATTTTGAAATGCTTACATGAATTCAGCAGGTCCTAGAACACAGGGTGATGTACCAGTTCAGATAAAGGGTATTCCAAGTCCCAAATACAGAAGTCCGCATGCAAAAACAAACTGATGTTGCAGAACCAACATAACTACATCTTGAAACTAATCTGCCTTTTTCTTTTTCTTTTTTTTTTTTTTTAAGTTTTGCTACAGGGCATTTGTGCTCACTGGAGAAAGAGAGAAAAAGAGAGGGAAAGTGAGAAATCATCCACCCAGGGGAGATGACCATGTCACAATCCCTTCTCTCTCATTCTCTTGGGATTTGGGGTATGAACACACATGTGCCCTGTGTGCTTTTCCTTTTTTATAAAAAGAATTATTCATTTATTTAATGTTACTTATTATTATTTTATTTTACCAGATTGAGAGAGAGAAAGGGAAAGTAAGAAAGTAAGCTGCCAGGTCCAGTTCAACTACGGTCAGCCACCTGGGAGTCTAGCACTTAAACCACCTCACCACCTGCTAGTCCCCTAGCGTACTTTTTCAAACCATTGGGTCTGGCACTCAACTGTACTGTCAGCCAAGTGGGATCCAGCCATCTTAACCTCCACACCACCTACTGGCCCTAATCTGCCATCTTGACCAATATTTAACCCCAAAGTCCTTTGACTAAATTTCCAAGGCTGGAATGACGGCTAAACTGTAGGGTAAACATGCCTGCTGTCCTGATGATAGTTAAGATATGATATCGACACACAAAGCCCGCCCTGTACATTCCTCAAATGCCGCCTGTCAGGGACTCCCCATTCGTCTTGCCTATAACCCCTTCTGGTAGTTTCTGTGTAAGCATATGCTTTTGGGGTGAAAGGCACCTCAAACCTTGCTTCTGTCCATAATCTCCGTAATAAACACAATGAAAAAGCTAGGCTTGTCTGCTCCAGCATTTGGAGGCCAATTCACCAACACTGTTTCTGGAACGCCTAGAGGAGAATATTTTATTGTCAAGAAATCTGATATGTACCCTCTCTTGTACAGCCTAAGGAAGGCTTCATGTACAGCAAGGTTGAGTGTCTGGAAAGCTACAACTCTAATAGGAATACTTTTTCTGGTCTCTCCGCCATGTGTCCTTGTCTGTCCTTGTGTTGGCTTTCTCCTGTCTCCTTTAAGTAAAGGCTGCCTGGTTTATCCAAAAGTGTTTGGTCTTTGCACCAATCCTAAAGTACAAATGACACTTGTCAGTAGAGTAGCTCTGAAGGGTCCCTAGCAAAAAGAACTGCAAAGGAAGAATATAATCTCATGAACCTAAAAGTGTATTTACTCAAGAGCTGAGCTTTATGCTGTCTTCTCTTTAAAAGGTTTACAACTCATATGCCAAACAAAGGACCTTATCATCTAACTGGTCAGGCTAAGGAAAGATTTTCCCCCAAAAGATTCAATTTCTTGACACCTGAAGGTTTTTTGGCCCAGACTTCACCCTCTTGTCCCCCAGACCTAGCCAGGTACAGCACCCTGTTTATTCTGTCTTGCTCCAACTCTAATTGTTTTTCTTTTTTAAAACAAATTTTAACCTCTTAGCTCTCTGGTGCTCTTTTATTTTGCTAATTCTTACCTTTCCCCGCCCCCACAGAGAATAAGCCAATCACTGGCCATTATATATTTGACTTCTGAGTGACCCGTTTAGTATAGCATGCTACCACACCACGTGCTTTTTGTTTTTTTGCTTGAAAAAATTTGTTTCTTTCCTTTTTTCTTTTATTAATATTGTTTTTGTTCTTTTTCTTTTAATTTAAATTTATTTATTTAAATTCATTCGCTGTACATCATTACAACATACAAAGCGAGATTTTCCATCCAGAGTACACTGTATATTGGCTCAATCAAGCACATCAACATACATGTTATCATCAACAAATAATTTTCCATTTCTTGTTTCCTGTACGTTTTGCTTTTTTTCCCCATCCTTGATTCCCTATCTCTTACCCTCTGCCATTTCCCATTCTCCTCCCACAGTGTCTCTGGTATCTATGTTTGCTTTCTGTACTTTTTTCCCCCACATGTTATTGAGTCACTAAAGATCTTAATGAATCTAAATATTTTCATAGCAAGCACAGTTGATATATACATTTCAGTGAACACAAGTCGAACTTTAGGCATAAGCCTCAGTAAGTAGAATGAAAATCCTATAAAGTAGCACCTAGCTGGGGCTATATATCTTACTGCAGTCATCAAATAGGTATTTTTAATGCTTTTTTTTTTTTTTATATCAAGAAAAACAGTTTTAGGGTGTTTTCCCTGAA